GTTATTGCCTACTGAATCTTGGAGGCGTACCTGCCATCGTGGTGGGCCGTCTCTTGGAAGCTGACCTATCATGGTGACCGCGGCTACTCTTGGCAGTGGTACGCGTCATGGTTGCTCGGTTTTGGAAGTGCCGTCGTGGTCGCTTAAAGCAATGCTGTTGGGTCTTTGAATGGGCTAATTTGTAATCACTGTTTCGCGGATGTTAGGCTCTGGCTGTTTGCCTCCTCACGAGCTCGACTGAGCTCCATGACTAATGACTGCAGGAGACGAGCCCGTCGCGAAGACAAGCGGGCGGCGGGCAATGTCAGCTCTATCCCTTCAAGGTTGCTCCAGCCAAAGCTTCGGTTTTAGGCTTTGCCGTGCAGCATACGAGCTCAGAATGCCTGGCCTGCATGTCCGTGTGTTTGTGTCCATGGATGCGCAGACATGCATTCATGTGGGCGATCAAGTCAGCAAGCAGCAACTGACGGTTCTTTTCCTGTTACGTCCAATAGCTTCTTGCCCATATACATATAGCATATAGTTAGATTTATATGTATGTACAGAGTATGGACATGTATGTGTATGAACTCATGTGCGCAGGCGGGTCACTTCGTACAGACAGAAACCCATAGCTACGGAATTGTACTTGACATGGTGTTAGGCAGAGGAACAGGGAGCGGGGCAGGTAGATAGAGGGACGACGAGAAGGTAGTATCCGAGTATTCAGATGCGGGTTTGGGGTTCTTTACATTCTCTTGATTCTCTTGAGTCTCTTGAGTCAGTAGCGAGATTCTTCCAACAGTAAAGGCCCCACGTAAGACCTTTGAAGCTGTCTCCGCACGAAGCCAAGCCGATGCAGGGATCGCTTTGGACTTCTGCCAAAGCACACGGCTGTAGCTGCAGAATCTCAGAAAAAATCCTTCTGCAACCGCACCGTGCCAGGATATGCTCCGCAGGCATCCGAAGAGGCAAAGTGGGCTTGTTTTGTTACTGCAGGTGTGCTCGACAGTCGCAGACGCGCAAAAACGGAAGTCGTGTGCAATAGTAGCTCGCCGCTGTTTCGGGAGGGTCGCCTGAATTGACGGCTTTGATTGAGTCTCATGTGTTTGCAGAGGTCTGACTGGCATTCCCCATAAAGCACTGTTCGAGATAGTCTTGCTATCGCTCGGCTACGCTTTCTTTAGCGACTGGTTTTGCATGACTGGCCCAGCAGATGTGGAAAATCGTTTTTGTTAGAGCGCGAAACGGAGCTGGAGTATGGTTGGGATGTGCGCGCACAGGACATGCTGAAGCGAGATTTGCCCGCAATCCACTCCGTTATGAAGCCGAGCAGCAGTCAGCACACAGCAGGGCTCAATCTGCGACCTGGGCCAGCTTTGTAGTGCGTTGCCTAACACGGTCTTTGCGCACTTTGGGGCGCTTCTGAGGGACTTCTTGGAAGATACCGCGAGAGGCTGCTGTTCTTGTGTCGGCCACACTGATCCGCACAAGTGAAGCGGAAATTCCCTTGATAAACGCAACGTACCTCCCTGTTCCTTCCATGTCCCTTCATTGATAGTTCACTTGATTCAGGGTCTAAGACTCTGAGAGCCAAAGGTTTTCCACGGTATGGCAATTGGTCTTTCCTGGTCTGGGGCAAGAGGAGACAAACGAAACCCCCGATCAGTTGTCTCTGGTCCGCGGAAGCTGCAGGATCGGCATACAGTCTCATGCCGTTTTGTGAATCCTCCATGCGATTAAATCATCCGAATGCAGTGGTGGATTTAATTAGGTCTTGTGATGCCATCGTTTTTTCTCGACACCACCTGGCTTGACAAATCAGCAGATTACTTGGACAAGCGACCAACCGATCAGCAGCTTTCTCGGTACACCCACCGTGAGTCCTTGATTTCATCCGAGAAATATACTAGTCTCGCGAGTCCCTGGCTGGAAGCAGGCACAGAGGAACATACGGACTAGAGAAGCTCCACTACGCACCGCCGCAGCTAAAGAACTCTCTTCGCTATTCTCGCTATCGAGATCGACTATGGTCTTTCACTTTGCGGGTTGAAAACTGTGCCCCGAAGCCCAAGCAGACCCATCTAAGGAATAGCCAGAAATCCTCTATGGACGATGTGTCGATCTCAGGCAACTGGGCCAGATTATAGGTTCGCTTATGCGCACACAACGGCAGGCACAGTGCACGCAAACATTGCAGAATTCTCAATGCTGTCTCAGGCGATCCGAAGTGGGGAGGACACTCCCACCACCACGGCAAGCTGGAGAAGACGCCTGCATTACATTCAGCTAGCATTAGAGAATCCCCGAATGAAAGGCCAGAGAGATGACCTTCGGATAGGACCCCCCCCCCCTCCGTGCGTTTGCGCTCTGTGTCAGGATGGGCATGAAGGACCTGGAGATGAAGTTGGCCAAAGAGCTTTTCCTGCAGCGTGCCCCTAGCAGCGGCTGCGGGTGACCGGGCAGAGACAGCATGGTCACAATTTTCCAGCATTGTCTGACTGCTACGGGTTACTGTTAAGGATATCAGCGTTATGGTTATCATCTATTATCATGTCTGTCCTTAGTATTATTATTGTCGTTGTCATGATTGTTAGTCCTCTTCTTCTTACAGAAGTGTCACTCTGTAATTGCGTTGTATCTCCATCATGACTGCAGTAAACGCTTCGTGTCGTCCGCATCGGCCGGCCCGGTCTCAGGTGCAGGGTCCAATAGCTGCAATTTCACCTTGTGCATGATGTGTGCCCACCTGACGATGCACGCCCAACGCAATGCAGTCAGCTTTACCATTTCGCAAGGTTGTTGGGCAAAGAGGCCGGCCGTCACGGGACATCGATACCATGAGCTGTGCCGTGCTGCGTAGTCTGCACTGCACAAGGGGGCGACGGTGAGCAATCGTCGCCTGAAATCTGGAAAAGTAGATTCTGCCCTTCGGGCACTGCTCAGAGTAACCTGCTCGCGTAGGGGAAACTTCGGGAGCCACCAGGTAGTTGTCATCACAGCTGGGTTTCTCCGACCAGCAGATCGCTGATTACTGTAGGTATGCGCCTGCCAGAGTCGTCAGCTTCGTTTTGTTTGTCTCGACTTGTTGCATGAAAACCCCGAAAACCGGACAGGCTGGCACCTGTTCTGACAACATGTTCTTGCGACGCCAAGGCTCCAAGAAGGCGCAGTCTGCACCATATCAGCTACATAGATGTGCTTTTGAGCAAGCGTGAGATTCGATTGCCCCGATGCCTTCCCGCATGACGTTGTTCAATTTCAACATGTCCTGCACCCTGGAGTTAGAGAACAAACTGGACAAGCCGTCGGACGCCGCAGCTGTCCTGCCGGTGGTACCAGCTCCAAGTTTGCAACAGGTTTCGGTAGTCTTCACTCTGGCTGATGCCCAAGCAATCTGCCGAACCACCGTTCTTTTGCCTTGTTTTGCAAATGCGTAGCTGCCTCAGCACAAATTGGGGGAAGTCGGCGAGCAGCCAGAACCTTGCAGCTGACGTCAGCTGAGGGTTCCGGAGTTCTTCTCGCATCCACAAGGCATGCCAGTGACAGGGATCAAGGATCTACCTGGCCCAGCTGGTCTCACATAAGTATAAAAAACCGGTATATGCACACAGGCATGTATGTATGTATGTATGTATGTATGTATGTATGTATGGCTTCGGTGACGTGGGAGCTGCTAATCTCGTCAACGAGATCAAGGACAATTTAAGGGGTCAGAACGCGACACCCGGCTCTAAATTCATGGATGCAGAGGCACCCTCTTTCTCATGTTTCCGGTGCTGTTAGGGGGTTCATGAATGGTGAGCACTGCCCCCGGGCCCCTAGCAGAGCCGCATCTCCTTGGACTCGCCGAGAGTTCCCCAACTCAGGGAGTAGCGAGGAAACCTGTAAAGCTTAGAGGCCTTGTGCGGGGTAGCTACTCCCTGAGTCCGTTGTTTTCGCTGTGGCCACGGGCTTCACGTCGTAGCTTTCTTTCTGTACTCTCTCAGTGTTTTGATTTCCTCAAGCCAAGGCCGCCGTGGACAGCCAGGCGCGGGGCTGACTGGAAAGAGCCAGCCGTCTGGCCTGCAGCAACCTCATGAAACTTGTACCGGTAGTGGTAGTGATAGTGAATCTTCTTCACACATGCGCAGCGGGCCATGAGAAACCGCAATGTCTCTCTATCAGTGTCTCCGTCGCCGCGTCCAACACTTCACAAGATGCTGTTCGCGTTCAGCACTTTAACAGCCTCGGATTGGCACGTCTTCTTGTCTTGTGTCGAATGTGAAGGCAGCATAGTTATTATTGCTTTTTTATACCAAGTCGCCTGAATGCAGCTAGTGCGTCGAGACTGCGTGAGAGGCAGGGAGAGAGAGAGAGAGAGAGAGAGAGAGAGAGAGAGAGTGAGTAGCTATTTTGGCTCAAGCACCTGTGGTATGAATGCATGTTTCAGGTTTAGAGCCTAGCGTCACAAGCAGCAACGGAGACAATACAGTGTGGAGTGCATGAGGATTCACCGCGGCCTCGCTCAACAACTTTAATCCAACTTTGTGCTCGGGAAGCGTTACGGCTCAGCTCGCAAGACAAAGCGACGTGCACCGTGGGAGCTTCCTCAGCCTCAACCCAGCAGCAACCGGGCAAAAATAAAGGGGCCAACTTAGCAGAGGCACTTCGACAAGCTTCCGATCCAGGCTTTGTGCCCTTCGGTGGCCACCTTGCCGGCTTCCATGTGCAAACGGGGTGAGCCAGCAGGCCATTTCGGCCATGAAGCAGTTGACCCAGAACTTTGCTAGCATGCCCCGGAGCTTATGCATGCAGAAGACTGGCGACCTGAGGAAGGAACTCCGGAAGATCTGCACCACAGAAGCTGGTGTCGTCAAGTGGCGCGACTTCGCGCGAGTGTTCCAAAGCTTTCATCCCGATGTTTCCGCTGAAGCATGCTGAAGCTGTCTCCGAGATTTGGACCTTCCTTGGCGGGGGTGAGGAGTGCCCGCTACACACTTTTTTTCGGTACTGCCTCCCGCGTGAGGGAGCGCTTGCCCTTGGTATCCCTTCTCTCCGTCGAAGAAGAAACGAGGAGGATGGCTCGCGCAGACCTCGAGGCGCATGCGTCGTCCAGGGCTGACTGAAAGGGCTGGCTTCCGGCATTGCGAATCGAATGACGGAAGCCAGCGGGAGTTCTTTGAACTGGTGCAGCATTGGCAGCAGAACACGCTGCGCTTGATCGAGCTGTTCTGAGCGTGGTGGTGCAATCCATGTCACCTGCCGTGCAACAAAACCGTCCAGAACAGTCAGAAAAGGTGAAGCACCCGTCGCGCTCCTGTGTCTGGTGTCGTGTGGAGGATGTTCAACATGTCATGGTCCCCTGTGGACACCTGTGTTATTGCCACGGCTGCGTGCAGAAGTTGAGAGGTGAATGGAAAGAGAAGTGCCCGGTCTTTAGGCGCTTGTACAGGGAGGTTGTAAGAGTCTTTGCTTAGCAGCTACGCAGCCAGTGGCCCGCTGAAAATGATTGAGCCGTCCAGGAGCTCTCACGAGGAAGGCATAGATGGCTTTTATTCGAAATCCTGACGCAGGGGGACCTGGCAGAAACAGAAATCCATGCGACCGTGGACCAAGCCATTCTACAGTTGTAGTGCAGCTTTTCCGTTGCATTCTTGTTCGGGGGATGAGAAGGCACCCTAGCAAGCTTGGTCCGCCGTCATCCGTGAGACACAGAACCCCGAAACAGTTACATGTCATCTAGAGCTCCATCTTCTACTTGTTTCCGAGAGGGGGGACACGCATGTTATGTAGAATGGTGTCCTTGCAGCTCCTTCTAAGCCACAGGCGCACAACAGAACCACTACCTTTCAAGGGTGATGAGACCGGTATTGTTGCAATCATGTTCACGGTAGCTTACTCTTGTTCTTCCCTGGTACGTGGAGGTACGTGGAATCGTCCCCGTTGCTGCTCGACCTGCCTCCAAAGCCCCACAAACATTGGGGGGGCCTCAGGGCCGAGGGGACTAACCAGCCCCTCAAACCCGAAGGTTCGTATGCTCATGCTCTGAATGCATCGGCAGGTGATCCAAGAGCCCAGCAGCCAAGCTCCAGTGCTTCCACCGCTCCAGCCTCGTGCGCACAGCAACCGGAGCATCAAGAGCGACAAGGACAATGTGAATGAGTTGGTGGAGAGTTCAGCAAACCTTGAAGGAATTGATGGGCTCTGCGGTGTTCTGGTTCGGGTCCAATGATCCAGGGTACGTCGTGCTCCTTGGTATGCGAACGTCGGAATAGTGTCTGACGAGGAGTCCCCCCTTGCTGCTTTTCACTACGGACTCAAGCGTCATCCTGTCGTTCGCAATATCTTCATGCTGCCATATGCCTCCAGGACGGCATGGACCCTCCTGGTGCAATGCCGTCGAGATCCCAGCATGTCTGGTGTCTCCTGCACATCCTGAGCTCATGTGAACAGCTTTTGATCGGTAAGCCCTCAAGTCACTGTAGTGGCTTTCGCTTGTTGCTGCTAGCGTAAGCAGGGCGCGATGTATGCCTGTATGCCCGGCCTTTATTTGATAGCCAGTGACATGAAAGGGGCTGGAGGGTCTTAACTACAGTGATTGCGACGTGGCTAGGTAGGTAGAGGTGCCCAGAGATCCGTTTGGCAACTGGCCAAATCGTGACAGTCGGGGAGTTCGAAAGGATGAGAGCTGCTGTTTGGCGAGGCTGCATTAGGCGCGGGTCGTCCCAAAGAAAATTCCGGAAACTCCCGGCTGGCCAAAACGCTCAACGAACATAGGCACTCTCTCTGTGAAATTCCCATTCAGAAATCAGAAACTCCGTTTCATCTTACAATCCGGGCCTCACCTGGAACAGCTTGTGGTAGAAAAGCTCACAAAGTCCAAGCAACAACAGTTCCTGGGCGGCTGCTTGCTTGAATGAGGCAGAAGGCCGTCGAATCGAGGGACATGGACTTGACCATGCAGGAGAAGTGCAGAGCAGTGTACTGCTGGCGGACAGTTCTTGCATTGCGGCCGCGCTCGACCTTGCAGTTTTGACCCCTGCAGGGCTCAACAAAGAGTCGAAGTCGCAGCAGCATATCCGACTTGGACAACAAAGGTCCGGAAATCCGAGGGAGGGAATCTGGGACTTTGCAATTTAATGTTGCGTTTGGACATGTAGATACACTGAGCCGGAAGACTTGACATGCATGACGTGCATGTGGCTCAACCGCTTGTCTCGCAGGGTCTTGAGAACACTACTCGCTTTGCATTTTGCCTGCCCTTCCGGTAGGCTTTGCTCCTGCATTCGGACCACCCCTTGAAGAGCACTGTGGCTCGGCCAACAACGAAGGGTAACGTCACAGGGTGCACACGGCATGCGTCATGGATGGTTCACAGTCTACTACGTAGAGCCTTTTAAAGGGGTGCGTGCCACCAAGACATAAGCCATTTGGGTCAACCGCAGAAAAGACACTGACTTGGCTTCCAATCGTGGAGGGTGTTGAGCTGCCTTGGCTTCAAATGCCTCCGTGCACCAAGGTCTCGCAGTTTTAAGATGAGCTCAGCTCTGTCACTCTCTCTCTCTCTCTCTCTCTCTCTGCCTTTCTTTGTCGCACCTTCTCTTGACCTTGAGTTGTTCCTCCGTCTCTCACGCTCGCAATTCTGGTTTGGCGATTGCTGTCACCTGGGACTGAACATCCAGGTTTGTGCTTACATATCTTGGTGCTCTTGAAGAGATGACCAGCTTTGAATGCAGGCGAGCCCTCCAGTTCAGGAAGTGAGGACAGCGTTGAGCTTGAGCTTCTTTCAAAGCCTCGCAGTGAGGGCTGCTGGAGATTGATGCATGCTCAAGGCCCAAGGCTCAGCTGCATGAGTGCAGGACAGCCAGCCACCGCCAAGGGCACCTTGTCCTGCTGGTTCGTGGTCTTTCAGTCTGCTTGCGACACGTGGCAAGAAGCAGATGCAGTAACTGTGCAGGGAAGACCTAGCATGCCAATGCTTGCTGCGGCTGAGATGGACTCCAACGTTCTTCTCCGAGCGGAAAATGATGTGTTCAAGCGGAACATCACGGCTGGAAGGCCAGGGGCACGAGTTCGTGCACTTAAGAAATGGTTGTTACCATGAGAGTCGGGTCTCGGTGGTCTTCGTAAGCCAGTCTCGTTTTCATGTCGTGCAGATGCAGGTCCAAGCAGAACACATCCCAGCTTCGTGACGAGAAGAACGAAGAGTTGATCCGGGCTTCCTGGTTGACTATGCGTGCTGTCACCTAAATCTCCTCCCCTCATCCTTAGCTGAAATACGGCCAAGAGGCAATTTTGGTGCTGCAAACTTTTGGGTTTTTATGAACAGATCTAACAGTCTGAGTCAATCCTTTAGTCACGGATTGCGGATGGTCACGGATTGGAGACAACCGAACCGAGGCCACCATAAAATCAGTTCCTGGTTTCACTGCCACGGATCCTACGGCGGAGCCTATCTTGGATGCCTGGTCGAGCTGGCAATGGGATCGGTCAGTTCCGGGATGTTTCGGGTACGTAGTTTGGACACCTCTACAGTCCTGGAACTAAGCAGTGCTGAGGATGCTAACCAGGTCCAGCGATGTACGTTGTGCAGCGTTCGCAGCTTTGGGTTGCATCCCCGCATTGTTTGGCCTCGCACCTTAGCCTTGCCGATCACAAGGATGTCGACATCTCCGAAGAGGAAGAGCGCCCAAAATGGGCATGTCTTGCAAAGGCCGCTTGGGCCTTCAGTTGCTCCTAACATACAGCATTGTCAACATGTTCCTGTGATGGTTGATGGATCTGAAAGATCCCGGCTGCACTTTTCGTTGCAGTTTGATTGTAGGACGGGTCCAGTCGGTCAAGCATGTTGTGAGGACCTGATAGCGGCTTGAGATTTAAGGTTGGCAATGGTGCTGTGAAAGTCCTGTCCTTGATCAACTGCTCAGCAACTTGGCAGCTGATGTTTGCCGGTAGATTTTCAACTCCATGAGCCCTGAAGCAAACAAAATACGATTGCTGGCTCCCACCAGTGTGACTCGAATCGTGGGATCCCGAGAGTCTGGTGTGCACTGTGCACCCTGTGTCTTGCAAACCCTCATCAATACCAGATGCCGCATCATCAGGACTCCATCAGTGAATCCCGGATCACGACGGCGCTCTTTCACATGGCCGGGCTGGGTTCAGCATTTCCAAAGCACTCACCTTTCCGTGGACGGCGGGTGAAAGGGATACTGCCATTCAACATTCAACAGAATCATGAAGGACCAAGGGGCGATAAGATCGGTGAATGCTGAGTCGGTTGTTGGCATGGCTGAAGTGCAGCTGTGCGCGGGGCAGTTCAACTCAAGCTCAAAGTACAGAGAATGCCATGTTAACCGGGCAGCTGAAGAGTTCGCTAACGACAAGAACCCCTAGATGTATGAACAGAAAGGTGAGGGTGTACAAGCGACTACATTTCTAAGTATTCAATATTAACATAAGTGGCAAGTCGTAGGCACAAGCGGTACCGAACAATCAGAATGAAAATCTGCGGACATGGCTTGGGCTTCAGCACCAGCAAGATTGCGCAGCGGAAATAAACCCACTGTTCTCTCTCTCTCTCTGCATGCCTCTTGTCTCTCTCTCTCTCACTGTCTCTCTCTCTCTTTTTTGCTCTCTCCCTCGTTCTCTCTCTCTCTCTCT